AAAAAAAAAAAAAAATTAGGCAGGCATGTTGCACACCCCTATAGTTCCAGCTACTCAGAAGGCTAAAGTAAGAGGATCCATTGAACCCAGGAATTCAAGGTTACAGTGAGCTATGATTTGGCCACTAAGCTCCAGCCTGGGTAACAGAATGAGAGTCTCTCTAAACAGAAAAAAAAAAAAAAAAACATTTGGCTTACAGTTCTAGAGGCTGTGATCTACTCTCATCTTTAAAGCCCCTGAGACATCACTAGAATTAATTAGAGAAAAAGAAATTGATCCTCTTCTTTTTTTTTTTTTAAAGAGACAAAGTCACTCTGTTGCCCTTGGTAGAGCACCATGCCATCACAGCTCACAGCAACCTCTAAGCTCTAGGGTTGAGGCAATTCTCTTGCCTCTGCCTGCTGAGTAGCTGGAACTACAGGCGCCTACCACGATGCCTGGCTATTTTTTGTTGCCGTTTGGCTGGGGCCAGGTTCAAACCCGCCACCCTCAATATATGGGGATGGAGCCCTACTCACTGTGACCACAGGTGCTGCCCCATCCTCTTCTGTTTTTGGGGGGGCTGGTCAGAGCCTCAGGCAGTTGCCCTGGGTAGAGTGCCATGGCATCACAACAACCTCCAACTCCTGGGCTCAAGCCAGTCTCCTGCCTCCACCTCCCAAGTAGCTGGGACTACAGGCGCCCACCACAACGCCTGGCTACTTTTTTTCTTTTTTGGTTGCAGCCATCATTGTTGTTTGGCGGGCCTGGGCTGGATTCAAACCCACCAGCTCAGGTGTATGTGGCTGGCGCCTTAGCACAGAGCCCCATCCTCTTCTTAAGAGATAATTTAAATACACACATACATAGCATCCTCCTTACTAATCCAGACTGTGCTTTGTGAGTGTTTTTGCAATTTGAATAAATAGCAGCTGAAATTCTGAAAGCAAATAATATATGACAGGGTGTAATTTACTGGGAACCAGTGATTTATTTTATGATGTGATTTTTACACTGCTAGCTTTAGTTTTCCATGAAGTTGTCTGGCTCAGGAAGGAAAAATAAAGCAGACATACACAAAGAAAACAGAAGAGAGGGCCAGGTGCAGTGCTTCCCAAAGAAGAGTGGCACCACTTTGGGTGGCCAACACTGGAGGATCCCTTAAGGCCAGAAGCTTGAGACCAGCCTG